TCAGCTATACTAAAATAGTTTGAAAAAAAAAAAATTTTTAATTCAAAATTGCCGCTTGGCACCGTTTAAACAACAATAAAAATACCTGGCAATAATCAATTTATGTTGTGAATAGTTCAATAATAATAATAATAATAAAAAAAACCTTCTTAAAATGATTTGATATATTAATTTTTTACCTCCACAAGTACGATGCGCACTGATGAACGCAACCACTACCGGCAGCCAGATAGCCCGTAGGACGTCCAGGGGAGTGTGAGAGATAGCATATCTAAAAACTAGCCTACCTGAAATGCTTGTTTTTTTGACGTTGCTAGCTCTCGTACCATATGTACGATACATCTGTCTGACAATTCAATTATTATTTTAACTAGATTGCAATAAAATTTTTATTAACATCTGTTCGTAAAAATGGTGGATGCATTTTTCCCTAACACAAATAAGTTAATGTAATTTCCTTATAATTCTTGTGTACAGTGTTTAAACTGTATAAAATAAATTCTACTTAACTTTATTCCTATATATTGAAACAGAGGAATATTAAATGTAAGTATGTTGGTGTTTTTAGTAGTTTCGAATCTAAATTATTTGTGTGAGGGATCCGTACCGGGTCCTACTTCAGACAGAATTTATGAACGTTTGTGGATTTTATTTTGTGGAAACTGTATATTTAAACACTCGTGAGATATCTTGGAAGTGTTTTTATGTGACCGGCTTATTAAATATTCTGCTGTTTTAATAAACTACCAATAATGTACAATGACTTTGAAAGAAAATAAAAATATTTTATATAATCTGTCAATGTACCCCTGACTACGAGGTTGTAGATAACTACTTGAATTGTTTCATATATTTTAGCACATGTAAGTGTCTCATGGTGAGAATAATGTTTAACATAGTATTAGATACCTTTTTAAGATTCAGACATTGATTTGGAATTAAATTTATTTCGAGAAGAAACGCATTCATACAATCTTTAATCCCAGTTGGTACACAACCACACAGACAGACAACGACACAGATATAAAGACATCTAGAAAACTGTGAGTGACTCCTGACATACATCCAGCTCCAGCCGTTCGACAGGTTAGCTAGAACAAGCAGACAGACAAAAATAATAAAAAATGCATTGATAACGATATCGTATATGTCGGCATACTTTTAGTGAAAATTTGTTTAATTGAAATTTTATTTATTAATATACTAGATTTATACTAAAATGTGTCAATCTTGATTACAACAATATTATAATCCATATACGACATTAAGGAATCTTCTTTATAACTCGTAGGAGTATTCTTACAAGATAAACATATAGAACAGGAAATAAACGAACAACTCTAAGTGTGGAAGTAAAATAAAAAATCAGTTGAACGGAGAACCTGTTCAATTATGAAATTGGATTATAAACAACAGTCAACATTAAATATGACAACAGGATTCAATACTTGTTCCCAAAAATAATAAGACGAAAATACAGAAATCAATTATACTTATGATTTCACTCTCAGGAGACACTCGACTAAGACGTCACCGTACATGTTAAATTGACAAGATGACGATACGTGACGGAGACGACACGGGAACGCTCTCACGACGACGAGACGATACGACGACGAAACGACACCTCCCACGAGTGTAGAGAGATGTGTACATTAAGTACTCAAAATATTATAAATTAGAATAAGTATATAGGTGTGTAAATATACAAGGTGTTACATTCATAGTGAAATAACGTTTATTTATTTTATTAATTAAAGTATTAAACAATTAGAAAAGTAGAAATATATGTAGGTACTCATTTATATCATGTAATATCAAGGATTATATAATATTTATTTATAGATTATTATATTTGTAATTATATTTGTTGAATTATATTTGTAATATAATGTGGATATTTTTGTAAAATAATCCGCATCTTGAATTATTATCACCGAGTTTCAGTTTAGTATTTTAACTTAACGTTGACTTCTGAAAGATAAAATGTTAATGAACCGAGATCCTTTGTCTCGTAGTAAGTATTACTACTTCAATAACAAGTCTATAGGCAGTCTGTTTCTTGGCGTCCAGACAGTGTTCAACATGCTTGATGTATGCTGATTTTGAAGCCAGGAAGATATTTGTCATAAACACCTTGAACTATCAAAATAGACTAGATTGAAGTCGGAGTTTATTACTTTTCTTACGGTTCTTCGTTCATACTAATAGGATCTTGAAGTAAAGCTTCCGATGAACGAGGAGTCTAGATTATCTTACTTGAAACATATACCTATAGTCCAGACTTTACCAAAATAGGTGATATCTATATCAAAGAATTCCGTTTATTAAATTACATATAACTGATCACAAGACAGCCCCTGGAGTGGGCCATTATTAAAGTAAATAACTTAGTGAATCTCTGTGAGAATTATTTGAGTATCGTTTAAGGAAGTAATTAGTTCCGACAACAATAATCATGGAATAGATGACGGATCTGCTTACAACACGCTCCTTAAAATACACGTTAAAGAGAAGAGTCTTCATATACATACGACACTCATATACACTTGGAAGGGCTCAAGATCAAAGAACATTAGATTAATTTCTATACAGTTTTTGGTACTGTAAATAGCTTCTTTAACTTTAACTTTTAGGTTTATTATTTTAATATATATTAGGTCTCATTAATGACATATTTGTAAGCAAAATGCTACCAGAGTTTACATTATAAGCATACAAAACCGATTATCTGGTTCACTTTTTGCCAAAAATAATTAAAAAAATTTTTGAATACAGACAAAAGGTACTTATTATAACCATTCCATTTAATAGTGAGTTACTATTGAAAGGTGAATGTATATATAGTACGTGTAGATGTCCCGAGCACTCCCATTAGTTAAATATTCAGTGTTTGAGTCGCAGGTGTATCGAATGTACCCTCGGCTTAAAATAATGTTATTGGGAGAGAGCTAATCCCAAATTGTCCTCTTCACTCATTGCACGTCCGATGTCCGTGTTTTAATTAGCACAGAGTGGCTATGTGGCTCGCTATCAACAAAATGAATTAGTTGAAATCATTGATGTATTGTTATTATGTACATTACGTGATTCTAATATCCAATATATATTTATTCAAATGACAGAACCTTGATATTTTTTTATATTGTAGATATATATCAGTGTTACATATCAGCTTTAATAACGGATGGAACATGAAAATAACTTGAGTCTGTCACTAATTCTTATAAAAACTCATTAGTATTTATGATTATTGTTAAAAGTAAAATGAAATCAAAGACTGTGTAAAAGGAGAATAGAATAGTTAGTTGATAAACTATGTTTGAATTTTGGTATAAATATGACGTCTAGACGCACGACAGCAGAGTTCAGTAAGTGCGTATCATTGAAGTATGTGATTATGAAGAACCTTCGAGAAATACAGGAGCATTAAGAACAATTGAAGTTTCATTTTAAAATATCATGGAACGCTCTAGAAGAAGTGACATTTGTAATGTCAGCGAGGCTAGCGTCTCTCTTTAAAAACAACGAATGTGTAATAAATCCGATATTTATATTTGATGGTTTAAGTTTAGTGTAAACAATAGTGAAATCAACCATGAGATTAATTTGTTTAATTTAGAAGTGAGTTAGTTGTGTGAGTTGTAAATTACAATGGAGTCAGTTTGATTGTAATATAACATTCGTCACAAAACCAATAGGTCGCCAGCAAATGGAATATTTAAAATAGATTGAACATTTAAAATGGAAATACACTAACATTTGAAGAGGATCTAAACTGTTATAGTTTTAACTCCATTACATTTTATACAGACAAAATAATTTTGATATGATATAGATACATACATACTAATACTTTACTTTTGTCTTCACTTGAAAATTCAGATTATTTCAAAATATGGTATTTTAAATTATTTTTCTTTTTATTGTAAAAAAATAGTCAGAAAATCGTAATAAAAATAGCCAAATAAACTTTATCATACCAACAATTGCCGAAATTCTGTGAACTTCATGTCGAAACAATATAACTCTAACTTGGTCCATCTTACTTCCTCTGTAACCGTTATTTACCAGGTAGTCAACTTATAAAAAAGATTATAAATTTTTCCTCCTTCAAAATTTATATACATGTTCGTCGTCTTTTAATACTAAATATACCTGATTGTGAATCTAAAAAGAATTCTCTAATAAATGTATTGGTCTAAATGAAAATAATATTTTTCCGATACACTACGGGTGCTTTATTTTTGTAAAAAAACTACATACATACATCCGATGTTAATAAAGTACGAACAGTATATCCGAAAATTTAGTTTCATTTAAATAAATACTCGCAAGACTTTTAGACCTCATTATGTATTGGTGTATTAAAAAACATTTGAACAAATGGGCCGTTTATTGTTTATAGATATATTTTACATACATACATAACTAGGAATATTATTAGAGGTGTCGTGCCCATTCCCTTACACTAGTATCCATTGATTAATTATTATTATTTAAACAAGACAACTTAACTCTCAAATATTCCAACGACTAACAAATCACGTTACTTGCAAGCTTATCGATAACAAACTCATTTTTATGTCCCTTCCTCTATAAGACGTGTGTTTCTGTGTTATGAATGTTCAAATCAGTACGATATCAACAGTAGACATGTTTCTAGAGCGTTGTGTGAATCATGTGGTCTGTTTTAACATTAACACTCTGTTTATTTGTATCTATTTCATATAATACTAAAGGTAACTTTATACAATATATTTATTATGTAAGTCTTTAGAGAAATAACAAAATCTAGTTTTGTATTCATTGAAGTAATTGGCTTGTTAAATTTTTTCACATCAGCGATTTCTTATTAGGCCCATACAAGCGGAGTAGGATTGTTAGTTTGAAGTAAATAAACCTATCGAATACTTACTTTAATAAATAAGGGAAATGTTTCAAAGAGACACAATTTTATTAAGTTATATATAAAAATGTTTCTTCATGTTGTTTGTAATATGACTTCAGATATACGGGGAGACGATCAGGTTAATGATCTAGTTCAAAACTTACGGAAACAGTTGTTGAAAGGAAACCAAGATTATACTAAGAAATACAATGAAATACAAAATATACAAATGAGAAGCAACATGAATCAAAACAGAGTTCCAGATGAAAATAAAATAAATAAATCATTGGACATTACAAAAACTGAAAGTACATATGTAGGAGGTGTTCGTAGTAAATATATAAAAGGAAGAATCAGTGTTGCTCCGAAGAAAATTATTGACGAAAGTATTAATTCATATGAAAGACCAGATAACACATACAGTAAGCCTCTTGAACACCCTGTAGATGTCAAGGACTTGTTGTATTATATGGACGAGGAGAAAATACTGAAAGATAAGTTAGGTCCAGAAACGAGGAACATGGCTTTCAGAAGAAGTATGTTTGATGGAGATGTGAATAAAAATGAAACAGAGAAAAAATATAAAATCTTAAAGGTACGAAACTTGTTAGACAAATAAAATAATGTTAGGTACAAGTTATAACTTTGTCTGTTTGAAGTTTATACAACCCGACATACATTTCATTTATTATAACTTCACTTCATCGTATACTGTGAATGTTTGCTAAGCTTATCCGGGATGTCCAGAACTCACATTGATAAGTTCTAAGAACGTATTTAGAAAACAACCCTAGTGGGTTCTTTTCAGATTTGGTTAGGTAGGGGAGGAGCTTGGACAGTGGAGGTGAGCGTTTAACGCGTTTGATAGGGCCCCTTAAATCTACACCTGGATCGCAGGTCCCAGGCACTGTTGAAGCTCCTCTCCCTGCAATGCGATGGACCTGACACCTACACGGTGATTTCATTGAATGCTAATAGGTTTAGTTTCTAAAGGAATAAATGTGTTTTTCAGGTGAGAAATCAATTCCGGAGAAAAGAACCGCGTCGATTGGTTCAAGAAGAAGGCGGTGAAGGTATTGTGGTGATGGCTCTAGACGGTGAACCTCTGCCAGAGTTCCGTCTGCCGAAATCCAGGAGACAATACAAGCACGAGCGAGGCTTGGAGGTGACTGATGAAGAGGAACTGCCTCCACCACCGGTTCATAGCGAGGAAGTTTGAACGGACTAAATAATACTAGGCTTTGTCATGTGATAATATTATAATAAATGTCATTTAGAGTTTTCTTAATAAATTATTTCTATCACTTCTACTTGAATTCTAGTTTTCATTTCGGTGTCCTGTTCTTGTTTTATTGACTAAAGGTACCAACTACTTCTAGTTCCAGATAATTGTTTAAAAATGATATGGTTATATTTATTATTATCAGTATGTCTGACACATTACAATAAAAGACTCTTAACTATAACGAAATCATTTTAAAAAGTATTTTGCTTAGAAATATTCTGCAAGTTTTATAAAAAGTTGTGTGGTAAATCGGCTATAAAGTAACCAATTTTCGAAGGCGTGAATGAAACAACACTGTTAAAAAATCATGGTTTATCGACGCTCGAATAATGCGTCGTACATAAGAAGGAAATATATGACAGACAAGTCAGCGGCTGTAAAAAAAGGGTCATATATTTCTGCGGTTGAATTGTTTGAGCCGACAAATCTCTCAACAAATCAACGCACTGAAATACAGTTGATAGTGTCAGCGGATATTACGAAAGTATTTCAACTGAACGTATTTTATGAACTCAATAAAAATAAAAATAAATTTTTAGTGCAAACCGTTTTATTTGACGCATTTGCTTCTTGAATTCAAAAAATGAGTTATGTCTTTGTCTCTTTCGTAAATCTGTGCGTACTTTGCAAGTTTGTTATTAGTTTGGAGAATGGTTAGTAAAATTTAGTAATCGCTTACTTTGACTGTGACGATTTTTTAAATTAATTTTCATAAAATAATCAGCGTTTTTTATCTACGATAGGAAATGGATCGCTTTTAAATAATGATTTAGTAAAAATAGTCAGAGAAGATCTTCGACGTAACAACGAAGATTATAAAGAAATGAAATATGCTAAGAATTTAACATCAGATCATAAAATAATTAACGGAACAAAAACGAGAAGAGCTGACACCGATACTTCTGATTACAATTATGATGACCTTCCAAAACTGACCTCCGATGTTTTGAAGATCGATACAGGAGACACAAGTAAAGTAATGACTACTGTTACAGAAAAGATACCACAAACATCGAACAAAATTATAAAAACAAAGTCACCAAAAACAGCAAATAAAGACCTTATTCAAAACACAGCGACCCTCCCGACAACAGTAAAACCGTTTATGAAAATAACAAATCAAACAAAAAACACAAAATATCAAACAAACAATGATATCCCTAAATTTGTGAATAAGAACAAAGTACAGAAATTTAGAAATTTCATGGAAAAGAACAAGGGCTTGTTGAAAAACTTTCTGGACAACAAAATGAAGGAGACTTCGAAAATAACTTCAAAGAGTCCACTGCGGCAGAATGAGCTCGATTTAGACAAAATCGCGAACTCTGTCGAGAGTTCTTCGGAAGTTGGTGGCGCGATACGAAACGTTGATAAATTATATAAGAAAGATGAACTGCCGCTAGCGAGTCCTGACTTGTTAGACTTAGCACCGGCCAGAGGTGGACGCATACACCAACAGAGAGTCAAGGTGATGTATTGAGAGATAAATATTAATCATATTACTAAAAACTGGTGATTAAAAAGTTCGTTCTAATATGACTTCACATTTGTTTCAACTATTAGATCGCGCCTTTGTGCAAGTTATATTGGATGAAAGAATAAATTATAGTCAACATACTTTATTCTGATGTCAAAGCTAATTGAAAAGTTTCTTTAAACTCCGTTTAGCATTTTTAAGCAAGAACAACGTACCTACATTCATACTTATGAAAACCTGTCGTATTTATAACAGTAGTATTTACTGTGTAAGAAAGCTATATGTAAACACTCGACTTAAAATCTAACGCCTTAATTGTATGTCGGAGTAGAGTCAAAACCGTAATTTTAAAAAAAGAGTGACGTCAGCATAACTGACATCACCAGTGGCTTTTGTTCTGGAGTGTGGTTAGGTTCTGAGGTTATCAAAGGTAAACTTGTAGACAGGTTGACGAATCCCTTACTTCGAAGAGGTCCTATCTTTGCTACGGCTGGAGCGAGACTCTCCGTCATATACATATGTACGAGTATATATATACTAGCATTCCGCCCGCGTGGAGTTCGGTTATATCGCGTTTACAAGAGAATCTTTCAAAAATCTGGGATAAAAACTATTCTATGTTCTTTCTCAAGGTCAACTCTATCTCTGTACCAAATTTCATTAAAATCAGTTTAATGGTTTAGGCATGAAAGCGTAACAGACAGACAGACAGAGTTACTTTCGCATTTATAATATTAGTAGGGATGTTGTTGAGTTGTAATCACTATATAATGTATCGTTTATTGTCAGGGTCGTCTGTGTCAGCGTCACGTGTTGGTCCCTGAAGGTCCCAAGTACGACAGTCAAGGCAAGTGGTACCTGCCAGCTCACAAGCTGATCGTACGTCGACCTTACAATGTAACTCACCGACCCAAGCTTGTGTTGCCTCGATGTTGTAACTGTTGTAAGAAGTCTGTTCTAGGATGCGAGTAGTTTAAAGTATAATTTATTAGTTTTATGTTATAAATGTATAATATGTTTGTTGTATATTAAAATATACTTTCAAATGTGGTTGAAATTATATGATCCTTATGACTCGTACATATTTACTTGTAATTATAATTTACTTTAATAATAACTGAAATAAATATGTAATATAAAATATGAAATAAATAATTTACTTTAATAATAACTGAAATAATGTATACTGTTAATTAACTGCACAATACAATAAGTTTTCATTAAAAAACTTCTTAATGTACCCAACATTTAAATATATTTTTTGAGTATAAAATTACTATTATTTTAAATAACTTGTTTCTATGTGATAATAAAAAAATCAGAAATCGAGATCTTTTTACAACAAATCTTTTTTTATCCCAATACAATGTGGGGAACAAGAATCGTCTTTATAATTCTGACCTGACTATTGTCTCAACATTATAAGAGTATATCATTTAAACTGCAATTTGTATTTCGGGCTTCGTAATAAATACACAGAATTTCGGTAAAGAAATATGTTAAACAAAAAATATTCATAATTTTACCTTCATATTTTATCATTGTAAAATTAATATCATTCAATATTTTCGTATTTGGTGAGTTCTTGATTGTTCTACTGTAATCCATTTATTATTGTTTGTTATCTTGTAAACTGAGTAGGTTTTTATGTGTATCGGTTTATAAAACAAATATTAATTAGATCCGGGAACCGAGCTCGAGAACCGTAAATACAGAAGCACGTCAACAATCAAATAAAGCATAATAATTAATTGTAAATGTTCCAATGACTATACACAAACATCGCGTGAATATTAAATGAGTGTGTTTGGAAATGTTAATTAGACGGAGGACGTGTTCATTGAAACATATGACATTAACAACGGTAAGGATATCGAATGGAAAATAATATGTTTATTATTGTCTTCTTCTACCTGGCAATTTCCCAGCTTTAGCCAGGGTCTGCCTTACATGTTTTAAATAGTTTTGGCTAATTTTTTTAAGACCGGCCGCCTGCCTGACATCAACCCTCTTTGGGAACCCTCTTTTAATGAGTGATGTCTAAATACTCTTAGAAAATACATATGATTCGGAAAAATCACATAGGTACTTGCCAGGATCGAACCCACACCCCCGGCAACGAGAGGTGAGCCCTTTAACCACTAGGCCACCACTGACTTTTTTTATTGTATTCAAACATAAATAGTAGAGAAGTAAGAGTGATAGTAGATTGACATAAACTGGTTTCAACTTTAGCTTCTTCAGAATAACATGTTCTAAGTTGGTTGCCAATTAATATGTTATATCTGACTCAGGTATTTCAAAAACGTGGTTATCATTAAGCCTTTGTGCAAGGAGTCAAAATCAGTACGTTTATTTTGGTAACAACGATCTAAATGTGACCGCAGCATTCCAATAATACATTCTGAAAAGTTGAAGTCAAGGTTACCGAACTCCTCTATACGGTGATAAAACACGTTTGTGAGTTGGTGGCTCTAAAGTAACTAAAATCTACAAACATTCTCTACAAGCGTCAGTATCAGCATCTTTGTTGGGATCGGGGTTTGTAATTCTGTTATTTGTCAAGAGGGTTTTTTCATGTTGATAAAATTGTAAAAACCCTGAACATTATTTTGGACAATTCAGCGGAGAATATTTTAATCCAATGATCGATAAAAAGACTTAAAACAAAATGTAGAAGTGACAACAATACGGTATATGAAAATAATGTTTAATTATTTCAAATTGTTTTTTAATATGTGAAAAATGTTTATTTACATTATAATAAACACATTTAGATATAAGTACATATATAAGTATTAGTGTTCATCCAAGCCGCGAAATGTCTTATTATAATGAGTTACCGTTCATATGAAAGTGACATAAAAATAATAAGCATTTTGTTACACTCATGTAACTATTGTTACCTTACTAAAACAATTGTCGAATATCGCTGGAATATAGTTGTATATACAAAATATCGTATAACGTGTGATGTGCCTGACCCCGCCATGCAGTCACTATAATAACCATGAAGATAGCATAAAAACATTTTTCTCTAACACTGTATTGAGACGTATCGGTAAGAGCGTGTCATTTTAGGTATTTTTTTAACATAAGTTTAATAAGACTTTCGGGAGTATTCATTTAAACAAAACTTATAATAGTACTAGCTTTTCGCCTTCAGCTTCGCCTGCGTGAAGTTCGGTTATATCGCGTTTCCAAGAGAACCTTTCAAAAGTTTGGGATAAAAACTATACCATGTTCTTTCTCAAGGTCAACTCTATCTCTGTACCAAATTTTATTAAAATCAGCTCAGTGGTTTAGGCGTGAAAGCGTAACAGACAGGACAGACAGACAGAATTTCCCATTTATAATATTAGTAGAGATTAATATTTTCAAATTATAAAGCGTTATTTTACTATTTTATGTAACTCCCGAAGTATCTTTTTATGTTGCAAAATATATTTTGTAATATAGAACTGAACTAAACTTGTTTAGTTTTGGAAATTCTATGAAAGACTTTTCAAGAATCATTTTCACGTCTAATTTAGTTTTTGTTTGTGAAAATCTCACTAGAATGACTTTAAGAGCATATTTTATTAATATATTATTTAAAACATAAAGAATCATTCTGTTGCGGTACAGACTGATACAGATTTGCGGTAAATTATTTAATGATATCGAGAGGAAAGTTAATCATGGAGTTTTTTAAATTAATTCTGTGGTCTTCAGCGACCATTTTAATTAGTTATCTCTTATGGGTCTTTTTATAATAATGAATTGAGAGGTGGTAGAGCCTAGCTGTGGTCAAGTTACTACAGCTCGAACATGGGCTGTCTCGACCGGGGAAGTACTCTCACAGAAAATCGGCGTGAAGTTGTCAGTAATGACTGCGTTTCGTCCGGTGAGTGAGAGAGCCGGTTGCCCTTTCCCTTTTCCCAAGATGTCCTTTCCCTCCATGTCCCATCTTTTCCTCCTCCTTTTTCCCAATCAAGGGCGGCAACACATCTGCATATCTACGTTGCAGATGTCTATGGGCGACGGTAACTACCTACCATCAAGTAGGTCGTCTGCTCAGTTGCTCCCTTTTCCCGTAGAAATAATCAATTTCACAAGTCTACATTTGCCTAATCATTAATTTATATAAAATGATTTTCAAAAAGATCTTCTTCTAAAATAGTTTATGATATGTCTTCCTCTCTTATGAAATCCGAAGTTCATTTTTTATATAAACGAAGTAAAGTTTTATATAATATATTTATGAATTATTGTAACTATTAAAATTTGAATGATATTGTTTTTTTAAATAAATATTATATTATAGTCAAAACTATTCACAACATGTAAGGCAGACCCTGTCCAAAGCTGGGAAATTGCCAGGTAGAAGAAGATAATACATTATAAAAAAATATTTTACAAATGAATTAAGATAATTATTTTTACGATTATTACGATTGTACCAGTTTTAAATGTAAGAATACACGTATGACGACACTCGCTATAATTTGTTTTAAACAAATTTTGATCAAAATTATTAATAGTAATTATTTTTTATTTGTAATTATAAACCCATCCATTTGTTTTAATTTCTAAAATCTACAAAGATAATGATCTAATAAGTTAGTGCGCTAGTTTTTTATTTGTCTAAACAGTTCAAAGTAACAATAAGAGAGGAAGAAAATCTTTGAACTGAGAAACCTTATTAAGGAAAGTGTTTGCAAGAAATCTAGATGTCTATTGTTATTAAATCTGTTGGAAACAAAATGATACGATCCTGTGGAATTAAAGATTGTTATCAAATAGAAAATATTTGCGGAACTGAGACACAGGAACGGATGACAAAAATATATGTTGTTATTGTTTTAAATTAAATAATTTTATAAAAATAAACAAAGACGAAGTATACCGAAATGTTTTAAACATGCATGTACTCAAAATCGTTTAAACATAAACATATATAAGATAATTATTTTGTTTTTGAGGTTTCAAATACAAACTCAACTTATATTAATGTGTTTAAATACATTAAGACAAATCTACACACAGTTTGATCAATATATACCAGTCGTCATTAATCTTTGTTGTCTGTCTGTGGATCATTTATAATATGAGTAATATAATATTATATATCATTGTTAACACAAAACAACATTTAATCAATTCGAAGCCATTCTATTGTAGCGTGATCATTACGACACAAATATATATTAGCTTATACTGAGGTGTACGCTTGACCTATCAAATAATGACGTTTAATATTACGAGTATAAATAATTTGAATTCTTTTATTTCTTTTTGTTTGTTATTGAATAGTTTCTATATAATTCACTTTATTTCTAAAACCTAATCTACATTTAGGAAGTTAAAGCCCAATTTATATCCCTTTTAACATCCGACCATGTTTAGAAGATATAATAATGTAAATTCATAGACAATACAATCTTAATGTTCCGACTCAGCACGACCCTTATCAGAGGATTTAAAACGAAGCACAACCCACGAGTTGGGCACAAGAAAAGATCCCTCTACCAAGATACAGAGTGTTTGAAATGTATCGTCGACGTTCATTACTGTTTATGTTTCATTGAACAAATATATACGATTGCTTCCTACCTCATAATACATGCATAGGCCACAAATCCCTTTAATACAATCCTCTAATAGATATTAAAGAACATATTTAAAACACTTATATTAAATCAGCAATGTATGCAATGTAATTATTAGTTCCTTTCTGTCCAACTCTTGGGGACAAAAACTATTGACAGTAAGCAATAGTTTTTCTCTCACAACCCTCGAAATCTAAAGCCTCAGATGAAATAAACTGGTCACATAACAAGACGAGACTTACCAAAGAAATTACACGTGCTCTTACATAACAACGAAATACTTTGGATCAACAATAATATAGAAACAACTGAATTAGTAACATAAGTTTATGGACGCGACTTTTGATTGTTTCATTAAAATCCGTCTAGTACTTTTTCCAT